TTTGAAAAGTCGTGCAGGTGTTTTTCGAGGACCTACGGTGCGATTCGTGTGATTTTATGATGCGCGGTGCTAAAATTCTTAAGAAGCCCAATGGTTTTTGGAGATTTCGGCGTGCGCGCGCGAAGAAAAAACGAATGTGTCCCGCATGGTATTATTTGACAGGGATGATGGCCCTGGCAGGTGCGCAACCGTTGTCGCAGAAGTTCGAAAAAGTTGCTCGCAAAAGCCCGTTTGACAGAAATGTTTAAAAAGTGTTGGGTTTCCTACGAATCCGCAAGAGCGCGCGGGATGAGATTTTGACATTTTTTGTTGAAAAACCATTGGTTTTTTGATGTTTTTATGTTAAAATCGCTACGAACACTAAGGTTTTGGAAGGATTTCGTCTTGCGCGCGCGAATGTCCACTTTACCTTATTTTTTTGCAAGGGATTCTTGAAATTTGATTATATTAGAACAAGAAATGTCATTTTATAGTGTTTTTTGCAAGGGAAAGCGGGGGGGGAACAAAACAACCGGATCTTGATCACATCGAATTACCTGAGGCTTCCTCACGAAAATGATGAAAATGTAGCTGCGGCCTAGGCGGCGCAGGGGGGCCGTGCACCAGGGGTCCCAACAATAATTATTCTTTAGAATTAATAATGTTCAACGATAATCCGCACCGCGGAATTCCACTTCAGCCACGCACCCAGGGACAGTGAATGACCGTTCGGCCCCCTCACTCTGATACATATATATATATGATCCAGGGTCGAGGGCCCACCGGCCCCGCCCCCCCAGATGGTATGGTCCCAGGATTCCTCGGGCCCCCCCCCCAGATGGTATGGTCCCAGAGACGACGACGACGACGACGACGACGACGACGACGACGACGACGACGACGACGACGACGACGACGACGGCTGCGACGACGGCGACGACGGCGACGACGGCGACGACGACGGCGACGACGGCGACGACGACGACGACGACCACGACGACGACAACGACGGCTGCGGCGGCGACGACGCCGGCGGCGGCGGCGACGACGACGATGACGACGATGACGACGGCGACGACGACGATGACGACGACGACGATGACGACGACGACGAGACGACGACGACGACGACGAGGACGACGAGGACGACGAGGACGACGAGGACGACGACGACGACGACGACGACCTCTGAACCACCACAGCACCACACCACATCCACAGGGGGGGGGGAGGGGGGCACCGCAGTGCAACACCACGCCACGCCCACCTCTGAACCACCACAGCACCACACCACATCCACAGGGGGGGGGGGAACCGCAGCGCAGCACCACGCCACGCCCACAGGGGGGGGCGGGGGGGACCATCGCGCGGGGGGGGGGCCCAATGGCATCAGCATTGGGGGGGGGGGCCCAAACCCTGGACCATATATAGATAGTGTGTACATTGGGATCGACTATGAGATGGATCGTGAGACCGATGGATAATGATATTGATTTGGATCGGTTGTGAGATGGATGGTGAGTCGATTGATAAAGATATTGATCGGTAGATAGTTGGTCTTGATGGTGTGGTGCAATTTTTTTGCCCGCGCAGTGTTTGCGGGCATTCCGTCCGCTAATGTTCCGACGATTGTAATGTTGATCGTGAGATTTTTAGGTGGACCGATCGATTGTGAGTTGGACGGTGAGACCGATTGAAACTGAGACTGATCGGGATCGGTTGTGATATGCATGCGTAGTGAGACCGATTGATAGTGCGATTGATCGATGCTTAGGCTCGAGCCCCTCTCAGGGAACATCCAAGCTGCTCGCCTGAGGCAGCCGGGCGGCTTCCCTTTCCTGGGGGCACCGCGCACGTGCCCACCCCGATCCTATGCCCATGCAGGGCGTCGTTGTGCGTTGTCGCGACGCTCTGAGTGGGGCTCTTGGACGTTTTTGGCCTCGGGAGGCCACCGGAAGCCTCCAGGGGACTTCCCCAGGTGTCTTCCAGGGGCCGTGCAGGGCAGGCGAGAGGGTGGTATGCTTCCTGCCTTCCCTTCTAGGGCAAGAGAAGGCCCGTTTCGATCCGATCGCTTCGATTCGACATCGATTCCAGCTGGTCCGATACGATGGGAGCTCGGTACCCCGACGATCAGGTGCGGCTTGGTATTCTCAGGAGAGGAATAAAAACAGAGACACAATGAATCGTCGATTCCTAGGAAAATATTGGAAAATATGGGAAGTGGGGGGGAAGACAAAAACCCAGAAAATATAGGAAAATATGGGGAATATTTTTATTTGTGTGTATTTATTAGTGTGTCCCAAGGCCCCTTCATATTCGCAGGGTCGTTGTTGTGCATGTTGGCGCAGCCGATCCGATCCGATGCCGGATCCGCCCCGGTGAGGCCCGATCCGACGCGCGCCCCGACAGGATCCCGTTTCTCGATTCGATTGTTCTTGCTCACGCAAGGTGGGCCAGGCGTCTGGAAACCCATGCGCAGACCTGATCGGACAAGAACGGGAAGCGCCGCTGTAGTCAAATGGGCGTATTGGGCGAAGAAGAAAAGGAAGGCGAGGACAACGAGGAGTCGATGACGAGGACGACGTGGCGAACGTGAGGATAGCGAGGAGGAGCATGAGGACAACGAGGAGGAAGAGAAGCACAAGGACGAGGACGAAGAGAACGAGGGCTCACGCAAGGTGGGCCAGGCGTCTCGAAACCCATGCGCAGAACCGAGTCTGGGACTCCCAGGAATCTCGACCTGGAACGGGCCCCCCCGAGCCGCTCTTCGAGGCGGGCATGTCCCTCCACAGGAGGAGTATTCAAAAATGGTCCATGAGTAGTCTGGGGGCGATAGTGCCACCAATTTTGACTTTTTTCGACTATGTCTCAACTGTTTTCACGTGTCTCCCAAAATCTGCCTGCAGGAGGACATGCCCGACCCAAGCCTATATCTCCCTCTGCGCGGCGCCGCCCCTTGGAAGGACGGCCACGGACGGCCAGCGAGCGCGTCTCCCCACTGGCGCGCGGACTCCATCAGGGGGAGTCTAGCGCCGGCCCCCGAGAAGCCCCCAAGCATCTGGCATTGCCACGAGAGCTAGCAGCAAGCCACCTCCCTCTCCTGCCTCCTCCCTCCTCCTCCTGCCTCGTCCCTCCTCCCTCCCTCCTGTCTCCTCCCTCCTCCTCCTCCTCCTCCTCCTCCTCCTCCTCCGCCTCCCTTCTCCTCCCTCCTGCTCCTCCTCCTCCTCCTCCTCCTCCTCCTCCTCCTCCTCCTCCTCCTCCTCCTCATCATCATCATCATCATCATCATCATCATCATCATCATCCTCCCCATGCACATCCTTTCTATGTTAGACTAACATTTGGTGCAAGGCCTGTTGCGTCTGTCCTACTCCTCGTCCAGCGGCAAACGACACTTGTTTGCTCCCGCCCCGTTTCAGCCGACCCTCAGTTGAGGGCCTCTGAGATGTCGGCAGGCCAGTGCCTCAGGTGAGGAGCGCGAGCAGCAGAACTATGCTGGAAATTCTCGTGGGAGTCGAGGCTACCGTTTCCCAGAATTCCGAGCAAGGTTTTCGATCAGGTTGACGGTTGCGGATTTTATGGGCTCGACTCGATTCGGCTCCGTCGTCCGCTTGGGCCGCTCCTTGGAGGGACCCCCCCGCTATCCACGAGGCTGGAGGGCTGACCCACGTCCCGTCCGAGCTGAGTGTCAGCTGGTACGCATCGCCCGTCGCTCCTCCGATCGAAGAATAAAAACGGTATAAGCATACATTGTCGGCATTCCGCGCGGATTTCTTGGACTTGCTTTGGGCCCCCCTGGCGCCGCCCCTGGCGCTCTCCGTGCACAAAGGAAGGGGGTCCAGCGCAGATGCAAGCAATCCGCGCGGAGCGCAGAAAGCTTACGTTTATGTTTTTTTGTGATCGTCTGTCCTACCGATCGGGTGATTTGGTGAATAATTTGGACTGTTGCGGTGTCCAGTTCTTGGACGTTCTCGCGGGAAGTTCAGTGAACCTGATCGCTTAGATGAAATTGTGGTCGTAACAAGGTTTCCGTAATGAACCGCGCGCGCCCTTCGCCGCCAGGCCGCCAGCTGACCGTCAGCTCTGACGTTGGAACATTTGCAACATCGCGAAAATCGTGACAAGAGCCCTATACAAGATATGTCTGCACCATTTCTCGAGCAAGACTGATCCGTGAGCGCCCCGGGGCCCGACACCAGGCGACAACACTTGCTGCGAAACAACAATTGCAACGCCACCCGACGACGACGACGAGAGGCGACGGACGACGGACGCGACGGACGACGGACGACGACGACGACCACGACGACGACTGACGAGGACGACGATGGACGACGGACGACGGACGACGAACGACGGACGACGGTCGACGACGACGACGACGACGACCCACGAGGGCAACGACGACAGACGACCGACGACAGTCGAGGAGCGCACCCCTCGCCGCAAGGCCCCCCGCCTTCGGCGCCGGTGCCGGCCCCTCCCCTTGGGGCAAGGGGAAGCGACATCACAGCCACTAGGGTGCGCGCCTCTGCAGTGAGGGCCCATGCCAAGAAACACCCTGCTTGCCTCCAGGGTGCCCTGGGTTTCTGGGGGTTCGATGGTTTTGCGACGGAAGGCGTGGCGCTTCCACGCCAAGAATCGGTGGACGTCATGGGTTCTCAGGGTTGCCTCCGCTGTGGGGCGTGCACCTCCAGCGAGGAGGGCCACGATGCCTCACCGAGCTGGGGACGGGGGGCAGGAGGAGGAGGAGGAGGAGGAGGAGGAGGAGGAGGAGGAGGCCTCCCGCTGGCGGTCCCAGAGCCCCCCGACGTCATGATTGGTTCACGACGTCGATCCCCAGCGGTCTGGACCCAGTCCCCGGGACTGGCTTCTCATCCCGAGCGTCGTCTGTTGCCGGCCCGAGGGCCGGCACAAGGGCCCAATGAGGCCGAAGATAGCAAAACGCCTCCACGGGGAGCTTTCCAGAAAGGGGGTCTGGGGTCCCTGGCGGTGGTGGTGTCGCTTGTCCTTGTCAAGCAGTGGCGAAGCGTCCCAGCTCGCCTATAGCCCTACCAAACAACGTTCTAAGAGCCTTTTGAGGTTTCCACGACATGTTCTCGGAACATTTCTGGCGGAGGCTCTCTGGTTTGAGCACATCGGGGATGTGTTCTGAGAACACTGCTTTGTTCTTAGAACATTTTTGGGGTTCTAAGGACATTCTGTGGTAGGACTATTAGGAATGCCAGGACGGTCGGTCCCTGCTCCACCTTGCCCCCCCCCCCCCCGGCGGGGGGGGGCCACGGCGGCGCCGCCCGCCCGTGGCGGCGGCCGCTGGGCGCCGCGCCCCCCGCCATGTCCTACGACGCGCCGTACGCCGTCGAGAGGACCGCGGGGGCGGGCTCGGGGCCGGACGAGGAGCCCGAGGAGGAGGCTCCTCCTCGGTCCGCGGTTCTCCCTCCCTCCTCCGCGGTCCTCGGATCCTCGGACCCTCGCTCCCCCTCCGAGGGGCAGGCCCAGGCATGCGGCGCCCTGTTTTTTTTCGGGGGGTGGGGGGGGGGTACGGATACCGCTGCGAGGTGTTCGGGCAGTTTCGCTGGGGTTCTCGTCGGCTCTCCATCCTCGGGTGTGCTCTCCAGCAGCTGCGCCTCGCCGATAGCGTCCCGGGCGTGCCAGGACTGGAGACCCGAGCTCTGATCCGGAGACTGCCAGTACCGAGAACGCTACCCTTCCCTCGTTTTCGCCTTTTTGGGTCTCTTGGGAGGCCCTCGTCCACGTAGATCGAGCGTATTGACAAACATCAAGACGAAGGTTGTTCAAGCCTCCAGGGATGGACGAGGCTTCCGGGGCCGCCAGGGACCCCGCATTGATTGTGCGACGGGCAATTGCAATGCTGAGTGTACCAAGCTTGATGTACCGTGCCAAGGGCTGTGCTGTGCTGTGCCGTGCTGAACTGCTATGTGCCATGCCGCGATTGTGCTCTACAGCGTTGTGGGTCGAGTCCTCCTTAGCATCCGAGTCCTGACCGAACGGATCTGGATCTGAAGCTTGGGCTGAAGTGGAAGCATGGATCACGTTCAATCAACTCGACCTCCAAAACAGACTCAGCTCGGAAAAAGGAACGACACGACACGGGGCACAGGCTCACGGACCCGCCACAGTATGTGCCAGGGGCTCAATGGGGGATGCGCCAGGGGACGTGTCAGGGGACGTATCAGGGGACGTGCCCTGGACGTCTCAGGGACCGACCACGGGACGTGCCAAGGCGCGTACCATGGGGCGGCCAGAGGACGCCATGCCAAGGGCCAAGGGACGTTTCACGGGGCGCGCCACGGAACGGGCAGGGGAAACGTCGGGGGACGAGCCAGGAAACGCAACAAAGGACGAGCCCTGGAACGTGCCACGCCGAGTGGCGTGCTAGGGGACGTGCCAGGGCACGTCACGCCAGAACGTCGCAAGGGACGCGCCAGGGGACGCGCCAGCGCGCCAGGGGACGCCCCACCTATTGGCGGGGTTGGACTGCGACGCACTCTTTTGCGACAAGTGTCTCGCTCGAGACATCCTAAACACATCCTCATGTTAGAAATCAGCCTGGGCGACCTGTACGCGTGAAAACAAGCGTCTCGTTCGAGACATCCTCAACACAGTCCTCATGTTTGACATCCGCCTTGGCGACCCGGACAGGTGAAACCAAGCGTCTCATTCGTGACGTTCTCAATAACACCTCATGCCAGACAATTGCCTGGGTAACCTGGACGCGTGAACACAAGCGTTTCGCTCGAAACATCTTGCCCACATCTTCATGCTGGACATCCGCCTGGGCGACCTGGACACGTGAAAACATTCGCTTCGCCCGACGCATCGTCAACACATCCTCATGCTAGACATCCGCCTGGGAGACCTGGACACGTGAAAGTACGTTGGTCGCTCAAGGCATTCTCAACACAACTTCGTGTTGGACGCCCGCCGGGGCGACCTGTGGGCACGCGAGAACGAGCGTCTCGCTCAAGACGCTCTTTGCACCTCCTCGTGCTAGACATCTGCCTGGGCGACCTGGACACGTGAAAGCAAGCGTCCCCCTCCGCCAGCTTCCCCGAGGTCCGTGCGTGCCTGAGGCCCTGGTGGCCGCGGATGAGGTCCTGGGGCCCGGCCCCGCGCCGCCAGGGGAACCACCAGACGGGCTCGAGGCGTTCAGGGAACGAGAACAGTTCCTTCTCATCCTCCTCATCTTCCCCCTCCTTCCCCTCCTGCTCCTCCTCCTCCTTCTCTTCCTCCTCCTGCTCGTCCCCCGGGGCTCGCTCAAGCGCGGGGCGGCCGCCCATACAGTGGAGGCCCATGCCAAGAAACACCCTGCTTGCCTCCAGGGTGCCCTGGGTTTCTTGGGTTTCGATAGTTCTGCGATGGAAAGCGTGACGTTCCCGCACCAAGAATCATTGAACGCCTGGGGTCTCAGGGTTGGCTTTCTTGTGGAAGGTTTCTGTGGAGTGGCCTCCACTGTACCGTCAGCTACCCACGTGGCAACGGTCTGTGGTGCCCAGTGTGGGGCCACCACGTCGGGGGAGGAGAGATTGAGCGGGCGCTTGAAGCTCAGTCCGGCAAGTCCGGGACCGTTTTCCAGCCCTGCCACCAGGGCTGACCAAAAGCGGAAGGCCGAGCTGGTGCGGCAGGGCTTCGACCCCAAGACGAGGGCCTTCTAGCCTCCTGCTGCAAGGTGGAAAAGGTATTGTCCACCCTGCACAAGTGGGCTAGAGGGCCTCGTAGGAAGAATTTCCTCATAATTCAATTCAAAGTGATAGAAATTCACAGGAACTGGTCCATGTCGAGATCTCCGACGTTTGGTGAAAGTTTAGGGTCTCATTCTTGGGTGCCGAGCTCACCTCTTCCTCAGGCTTCGCCTCCCCATCCGCCTGCATCTGCGTGGGTGCTTATGTAAGTCGTACAGGGTCTGCTGGCTCTCATGCGGACCTCTGTCGGCCTCTCCCTCCCCATCCAGCCTTCCCCCCGCTCCTCCTCCGCGCCCCCGTCCTCCCTCTTCGGATGGAAGTCTTGGGAGGTCAAATTCAGATTTTGCCCTGGTCCGAAATCCGGCTTGATACGGTTCAGATCCCGCTTCATCTGGCCTAATCCCGCTCAATCCTGTCTAATCCGGCTGACTCCGAGGCCCATGCCACCGCAACAGCTTTTTCATGGGGCTTCATCCTCCTCCATCCTTCCGCTCCGACGGCCTCCCAGCAGCTGCCCCTCCCAGCCTCCCTGCTTCCCCCGCCCCCTCCCCTCGCCTCCGCGGCGCACGAGCGAGCCTGCCCTCCCACCAGGGGTGGAGGAGGCGCGGAGCCGACGCGGTCGCCCCCAGTGCCATTGGCCCCCTTTTCGGCCCTCTGCCAGACAAGGGCCCGGGCCCGCGCGCTCTCCTCGTGCCCGGGCAGGGGAGCCTTGAGACGGGTCGGCGTCACCCCATCATACTTCTACTGTACGCGCGTCGCCCCCCCCCCCCCCAACTCCTGATATTCTAATTCGTATGATTCCTCCTCCGCCTCCTCCTCCTCCTCCTCCTCCTTCTCCCCCTCCTCCTGCTCCTCCTCCCCCTCCTCCTCTTCCTCCTCCTCCTCCTGCTCCTCCTCCTCCTCCTCCTCCCCAGGGGCGACGCTCGCACCGAGAAATCTTGTAGTACATGCGTCGTGGCGGGCGCTTTCTGGCCACGCCGCTCGGGAAACGATATACTACAAGATGGGTACACTAGATGTTCGGGTCGGGCACGCGCCCCCAAGGAGGACATATAGTATCAGTATGTCCATGTGCTTCGATGTTCTACCGTTTGCAATCGGTTGTCCTGAGGTTTGTCCATGGAAGATCGACGTTCCACTTCTTGGAGAAAGGGGCCTCGTTCCTTATTTGGGGTCCCTTGGGTCAACGCCCCGACGGTACAACCTTCTGCGGGAGGACTCCCAGCTGATTGCCGCTCTACCTCCCGATCCCCCTCTCCGTCGTCCTCGTGCCCCTCCTCCAGCCTCCTCTAGGGGGACGAACAATGACAGAACATGAAAACTCGGAGGTCCGCGCGGATTCCTCGGGTCTGCGCTGGACCCCCTCCCTGGCGCGCGGAGCGCGCCACGGGCGGCGCTGGAGGCGGCGCTGGAGGCGCCGCCGGGGGGCCCCAGCGCCGATCCGAGAAATCCGCGCGGACCTCCGAGTTTGTGTGTTTACGTCACTGTTCGTCCCCCCTACAGCACCGTTTGCCCTCCCCCTCCCCCGGGAGGGCGAGAGGGGAGGGGCGCCCGCGGGGCAGGCGGCCGACGCCGCCGTGGGGCAGGCCGGAGGGCCCCTTCGGGCGCATCCTGACGGACGTCGGGGTCGACGGCGCCAGCTACATGGACCGCGGCGGGGCTTCCGCGGGCGTGCGTGGCGGCCGGCGGCGGCGGCGACGAAGAGCAACGAGCGACGACGACGACGACGACGACGACGACGACGACGACGACGACGACGACGACGACGACGACGACGACGACGAGCGACGAGCGACGAGCGACGAGCGACGACGACGAGCGACGAGCAACGAGCGACGACGACGACGACGACGACGACGACGACGACGACGACGGCGAGCGAAGAGCGACGAACGACTGCGACGACGACTGGCGGCAGCGAGGGCGGTGACGACGTCTTCGCCTCGGAGGCGTCGGGGCGCGGCTGCAGGCTCCTCGTCGGCACGGCGGGGCGCTTGGCACCGCTCGGACGTGTGCATTTTGTCTTCCGGCGAGGGGACCATCGCGGAGCAGCCCTGATCCTTTGGCGAGAAAGCCACGCACGAAAACCGAACAAAAAAACACGGGGAATGGACGTCCGAGCCACGGCTGGGAGGGGCCCGCGGGGCCGCCCCGAGCGGCTCTCCAGCGCGCCAGGGGGCGCGCCACGAGGCGCCGCCAGCGGGGCCCAGCCCCCGATCAGTGAAGTCCGCACGGAGCCCCGACGTGTGGTATGCTCACGTCGGTTTGTGCTGCTCGACGAGTGGCGGCGACGACGGCTGCCCAACGTCGAAAGAACAGGGGGAGGAAGGAGGAAGGATGTGGAGGCAGGATGAGGAGGAGGAGAAGGAGGAGGAGGTCGAGGAGGTGGAGGAGGAAGAGGAGGAGGAGGAGGAGGAGGATGAGGACGAGGAACGAGGAAGGAGGAAGGATGTGGAGGCAGGAGGACGAGGAGGGAGGATGACGTAGGACGGAGGATGGGAGAGCCAGTCCGAGCGAGCGCTGGCACAACCCCGCTCGCTGCCGCCCGGCCCTCCGCCGGAGTGCGCCCCGGCCGCGGCGAGGCAGGGAGGGGCCGCCCCTGGAGGGTTTCGAGGGGCGACGAGTGCTGTCGGAAACTGGAGCATAGACATCACCAGTGGCGGGCGGCTGCTCAATCCCGGGACCTATTTTGGGGGCCGAGGACGACGCTGGGGTGGTGTGGTGGATATTTTTGTCCCGATGTCCCGGGGAAACAACAAAACATGTATACACCAGGGTCCCGTATACACCAGGATCCGCTCTCCAGTGCAATTTCCAATGCAGGCCCGTAAGAAGCGTCGGTGTATAGAGTTCGGTTCCCTATGTCGGAGCCCCGTCGGTGCGCTGCCCCGGCCTGGACTCGAGCAGTGGCGTGGCGTCCCAGCTCGCCTGCAGGCTCACCAAAGAACGGTCTAAGACATTTGTCTTGGCATCGCTCGGACGTGAGCGTTTTTTCCTCGACGAGGACCATCGAGGAGCATCCTGGATCATTTGGCGAAGAAAACACGCGCGAAGCCGAACAAAAACAGGGAACGGACGTCCGAGCGATGGCCAGTTGTGTGGTGTGCACGAAGTGATCTCAGTACCGGTCTGCCGGAGACCGTTTTGCTTCGATGCATCGGCTTTATGGCCTACGCACGTGTTCTATTGCTCCGAGAGCATCCGAGAGTTCTGCGAACATGTCGGTGTGGGCCTACAGGGATGCCGGGACGGCGTGTCCCTGCTTTGGACGAGGAGGTGGAAAGGTGGGGAACGAAACGTTTCTCATGCGAAAATCAGCAGCATCAGCCTCAATAGCATCCGCATCAGCATCCGCATCCGCATCAGCATCTTCTCTGCTCCTTCTCGGCGTGGACGGCAGGTGGAAAGTCAGAAGAGGGAAAGGTGAACCTCCTTTGATCCCCCTCGGCGTGGACGAGAAGGTGGAAAGGTTTGAAACATGCCCCCCTACCACGCGGGCAGTACCCTGAACAGACCCCCCGAGACACCCATCGACAGGCACTCAGGACGCCCCGAGCATGACTCAGTTGCCAGGCAACTCGTCGCCCTCATATGCCTCTCTTGATGTTGGAAGCTCCTTTGATCCTTCTCGGCATGGGCGAGAAGATGGAATGTCAGAGGGAGAAAAGTACTGAATCCGCTACCCCTGTCTCGGTATCGCTTTTTTGGGCCACCTTGGAGGACCTCGTCGCCACTGCTGGATTCGCCTAGAAATCCTTGTCAGAACGCACTCCTGGAGTGGTCCGGGTAGTAGGAATGCGTCTTCTTGGGGGGTCTGGCGATGGCCCCGGTTTTCGCGTACGCCCCCCCCCCCTCTCCCCCTTAGGATATCTTGACCTTGTCGTTCAGGGGGTGCGCAGTAGTACTGCGCGCGGGCATACGTGGGGTTTCCCACAGTGGAAAGAATAGGCTCTAGCGGCATCCTTGTCTTTTGGTTCCCCCATAACAGTGGGCAACGAGACAGTTCTGAGGCCCGATGTAGAGTCGAGGAGTGCAGGTTCGGTGCTGGTGCATAGACGGCGTTCTCCCAGGCGTCTGCCGACCTTCGTCCAAACCGATCCTCTCAGATCTTCCTCAATCCTCCTGCCACCCCTGGATCACCAATCCCCTCCTCGGTTTCCTTCGTCCTCGATCCTCCGACATCCGACCTCCACCTCGACCACCATCCTCTGCTCTGATCGTCCTCCTCCTCGACCCTCCTCGATCCTGCCACCTCCTCGGATCGGCGGCGAGCCGAGGGGGGGAAGTGAGATAAGGGGCGGGGCTTCCAAGAAGGCTCGGCGGTTCCCCAGCCTCCTGAGCAGTTTTCGAATCGAGCTGCCCCCGCAGACACCACAAAGCCTCTTCAGAGGGCGCGAGGGCTTCTGAGGAGCCCCCGCCGCCTCCAGAGAGGGCCCTCTCCTTCTCGCTCTTCCCCCCTCGCTCGCCGCCGATCGACTCTGGGATGCCTCCCCGCGCGCGGCGCGCAGGACGGCCACCTCGCCTACAACGGCGCCCTCGACACGCCGAAGCGGCCGCTCGCCGTCCCCGCGCGCACGCGCCGACCACCCCCCCCGCCTCCTGGGCCGCGCGCAGCGGCGCGGCCCGCGCGCGCGGGGACGCCCGTGCCGCCGTCCAGAGGAGGAGGCGGAGGACCAGAGGGTTCCAAGGGGAGTTTTTGGGGAGGTTTTCCAGGAGGGGTCCCCTTAGGGACTTCGCACCCCCCCGTTTTGACGAGGTTCCGAGGTCCCTGGGGGGCTCTTTGGAGAACCTCCTCCTCCTCCTCCTCCTCCTCCTCCTCCTCCTCCTCCTCCTCCTCCTCCTCCTCCTCCTCCTGTCGGGGGCGACCAACAGGGGGATGCTGACTACAGGCGACCCGCAGAGTAAGGATAGGCATCTCTCCCAAGGGTACGCTTGCATCCTTGCTTCCTGGGTCCATCCTGGGACACTTTCGTTGGCCGCGCCCCGCTCGAAACGCTTCGAAATGGGCATCCAAGGCCCTTGCATCCTCATAGCGCATCCTTGTTCTACGGGTTGACTGTAGGGGGGGGGACATCATGGCGTGGGCCATGATATTTTCTCAGATTTGATGGGTGGTGGCCACTGCATTCGGGAAACGGGTCCCGAGCAGAGCAGCACGCACCACGACCACGCCGGCGACGACGGCGACGACGACGACGACGACGACTACGACGACGACGACGGAGACGAAGAGCGCAGACGATCCGCACCAAAGCACGGAGTCGGGAAAGTACCCGCCTTGCGGGTTTGGTTAAACAACGCATCGCTCAGCGGTGCTGCAGCTTCCCCTGAGCACAGGCCCCCCCCCAGAGCATCAGCCAGACAAGTCAGGTTTGCACCCTCATGCCTTGCTGGACTCTGGGCGCGTTTCGGCACCCTTTCGCCCAACCTCGGGCGGCCAACTGGAGGGTAATGACTAGGGGGGTGGACATCATGGCGTGGGCCAGGATATTTCCTCAGATTTCGTGGCGCCTCTTCTTATTTCAATACGTCCCTGCCCCCCCCCCTGTGCCGCGCACGTGCCGCCAGCCGTGATTTGCGCCCCCCCCTCTTGGACGCCCCCCTCTTGGCTGCCCCCGATCCAGGCCTCCTAGATGGGGTTTGAGTAGATGGGGTCGGGTCGGCGGATCGCCCCGCATCGCCGATGCATCGACTGTGCGGCTCGATGTGGAGCCCGTGTGTGCACACGTTTTCCCCCACTGACGTCGGCGATGCATCGTCGGCGTCGCACGCGCATCGCCGATGCATGGCCGATGCCTCGCCGATGCATCGGCGATGCATTGGCGATGCGACGCGATCTTCCGACCCCGTCTACTCCGACACCATCCAGGAGACCTCTGAGGATCGGGGGGCTCGTAGAGGGGAAGGGTTATCCGTCCGCTGGGGGTACAGGAGGCCGGGGCTGGGGGAACGGGCCCGGCCTGCTGCTCCCGTGGGGCGCGCTGCCTCCTTCCAGGGGCCGTCCGGGGCGAGTTTCCCTGCAACCCCACTTTTGACCCTACCCCACCTCTGTGCCCCCCCCCCGGGATGATGAATGGACCCCGCGGGGCGCGAAACAATATAATTATATTAGATATGAGATTAATGACGTCGTCGTCGGCGGCGGCGTCGTCCTAGATATGAGATTAATGACGTCGTCGTCGGCGGCGGCGTCGTCCTCGTCATCCTCGTCGTCCTCGTCTTCGTCCTTGTCATAGTCGTCCTCGTCGTTCTTGTTGTTGTCGTCGTCGTCTTCGGATACATCGGGTCTACGAAACACCCACCCCATGGGACAGCCATTGTCGTCGTGGGCGTCGCCGTCGTCTTCGTCGCCGTCGTCTTCGTCGTCGTCTTCGTCGTCGTCCATCGTCGTTCTCGTCGTGGCATCCGCAGTGCGGCGTCGTCGTCGTCATCGACGACTACAGCGGGCATGCGCAAACCCCCCGCCCACCCCCCAGGAGCATCCTCAGTGCGTCGTCGTCCGCCGTCGCCGTCGCCAGCGTCGTCGTCGTTGTCGTCGTTGTTGTTTTCGTCGTGGGACATTGTAGTGGAGGGGGGGCGGGATGGAAAAGGAGAAAATGGGAGCCCTCTTTCCGCCTGCCTCTACCGCTCCTCCTCCCTCTTTCCGCTGTTGCTTGTAGCCATGTCGGTGCCGCCTGCCAGATGCGGCGCCCCTTCCCCCCGCCATCCCTTTCTCTTTTTTTTTTTGGGGGGGGGGGGGCAATTTTGGCCCAACCGCCCCGCCATAGCGGAGGCGCTGACGCCCTCCTCCGCTGAAGCGACGCCGCTTGCGTCGCGCCTGTCGCCTTCCAGCTGTCGGCCTAGTGTCGGTGGCAGTCACCGGCGCCGCCGCCGTGTGTTTCCAGTTGGCGGGTGCGCCCCCACCCCCCTCCGCGATTCACCCGAACAGGGGATAATTTGTAGTCGTGCGCCCCTCTTGCTATCATGTATATATCGCGCTGCATGGTGCCGCCTGGGATGTCGTCACCTCCCGTCCGCGCTGAACTGGAACATCGTCGGCTTTCCTGATGCCGCATTTCCGCTTACTCGTGAAGTGCAGCTTCTGCCTCAGCCCTTTAGTGCGGCCGCGACGCCGCCCCGCGCCCTCTGCCAGGGGTAGCGCCGGCTGGCCCCCATGGTCCCTGTTTGCGTACGTCATTGTTTGTTGGTGACGTGTGTTTACGTCCTGGTTCGTTTCCCCATTTCCTTGCCTTGCAGCCGGACCGAGGTGTAAGATTGAGGTCGGCCCGGAGAGGGTACCCTAATGTTGTTTGTGCTTGGCGGGCGTTTCTGTGCACTTTGTGCATCCCAGGGAGTCCCCTTGGACGTTCTGTTTGGTTTGGCCGACGGAGGGCTTCGTGTTCTTGAAGGATGTTTTTGCCGGCCTAGGTCCGAGTGCATTTTCTTCCCCTACGTTTAAGTCTGGCGTGCCCCTCTACATGAGGAATATTCAAAAATGGGAAAATCTAGGGACGATGTTCCGAATATGTGTTCGTCTGTTTGAGTTGTTGGTTTGTGCTCCATTTTTCTTCCCAGATCCGCCTGTAGGAAAACATGCCCGACCTGCCCGTACGTCTTCCGGCAAAGAGAACGAACTGTGCCCATGCACCGATCCTGGCAAGGTACATCCTTGACACAGGATCGTTGCATATGGCTTCCTGGCCAAGGTAGGAGGGCGTATGCACCGATCCTGGGCTCAGGATGGGCCTGGCCAGAATCGGTGCATGTGCATAGTTATTTTTCTTCTACGTCTCCCCCCCCGAGCGCGGAGGCTGCGCCGCCTCGACTACTTCGAGCGGCGGAACGCCGGGGTGCAGGCGCCGCGGCGCGGAGGCGCCCGTCGCCGCGGGGGGCTCCCGTGCCTTGCCTCCCCCCCGTGGCCGCGGGGGGGTCCCGGGGGGAGCTTCTGGTCCGCGCCGCGTGGCTCACGCGCGGTCGGGCGACGGACGACGACGACGACGACGACGACGACGACGACGACGAGGAAGAGGAGGAGGAGGACGACGACGACGAGGACGATGAGGACGATGACAATGACGACGGCAACGGCGACGACGACGAGTACGATGGCGGCGACGACGACGACGACGAGGACCCCTCGCCCAGGAACTGCAGCGCCTGGCCCAGAGCGGCAGGGGCCCAGAGGCGCCCGCCGCCCGCGCGGATCCGCGCGCGGGACGTGGGGAGCCACGACCGGGGGGAGGGGGAGGGAGGGGGAGGAGGAGGGGGAGGAGGGGGAGGAGGAGGGGGAGGGGGGGGAGGAGGAGGGGGAGGAGGGGGAGGGGGAGGCGGGGGAAGAGGGAGAGGAGGGGGAGGAGGGGGAGGAGGAGGAGGAGGAGGAGGGAGGAGGAGGAGGAGGAGGAGGAGAGGAGGAGGAGGAGGAGGAGGAGGAGGAGGAGGAGGAGGAGGAGAGGAGGAGGAGGAGGAGGGAGGGAGGAGGAGGGAGAAGGAGGGAGGAGGAGGGGAGGAGGAGGAGGAGGAGGGGGGGGGGAGGAGGAGGAGGAGATGGAGGAGGAGGAGATGGAGGAGGAGGAGGAGGAGGAGGAGGAGGAGGAGGAGGAGGAGGAGGAGGAGGAGGAAGAGGCATCGGCCTCGATCGTGAAGTCCAGCATGTCCCTCTGGAGGGGTAGAAAATAGCAGAACCATTTTCTGGTGACGATAATTCTACTCTCTTGGGCCATGTCTGACGTTCCTGACTCGTTTTCGCTTGTCCTCCAAAACCCGCCTGTAGGAGGACATGCCCGACCTAACCCTATCTCCCTTTTGTCGCCGATGGGGGCCCTATGGCCCCAACCCGCCCAGGAGCGTGGGGATGTACTATCGATGGCCTCTGGCCGATCTGTCGGCGATGGATCGCCAATTCCAGGTCGATGCTCCCCCCCGTATGCCAGCCCCTTCCTATCGTTGGCCCTCAGGGGAGCAGAGGCCGCGCTCAGAACATGGAGCTCTTCGCGAGTGCCTGAGAATGCACGTTGTCGTTGTTCGCGCCATTGTTTGTTTCATAGCGCCAACGGACCTCCGAGTTTGTATATTTGCGCCGCTGTTTGCTCCCATACTCATGCCTGCCCCTGAACGCGGGTCAGCCAGAGAGCCGGATCTAGCAGGATCCTGCAGAGCCAGAGTCACTCTGAACAGGGCTTAGGTGCAGGACCCTGCAGGATCCTGCAAGGCCTTGGCCAAGGCCTGACTGACCCCGGTCTGGATTGACCCGGGTGAGAAGGTCCCCGAAGTATCAATGGCACGCCACCGTTGAGAGCCTTTCAGCATGTCACGCCTTGAGTTCTCCAGCAGGAACACGCCGATGCGTTCCCCACGGCGGCGTGTCGCTGATCTTGTTTTTGCTCTCTCAATTGCTTCCTTTCCCCTCTTCGTCGTCGTGCTCGTCCTCACGATTAACCACCGTCCAGCGGACTGGCTCACGTCAGGCCCCCCTTGAATCAGGATATTGCTCGGGAGCAACGATAGGGCCTCTTGGGGCCTGGGGGCCCCTTGCGGCGGAAGGCTCGGATTTTGGCTTCGGGTTCCTTCTCTGGGCCCTCTTTCGGGGCCGTCTTGGGGCCCTCGTGGGCCGTCTTGGGCGCCTCTTGGGCCGTCTTGGGGCCCTCTTGGGCCGTCTTGGGGCCCTCTTGGGCCGTCTTGGGGCGCTCTGACATCGTCTTGGGGCCCTCTTGGATGCCTCTCGGGCAGTTTTGGGGTGGATTGGGGGGCATCTTGGGCCGAAAGGCGAGAACGCCCAAATCCTACAAAAACGAAATGCACATCAATGATGTTGCCTTTGGAGGCCCTCCTGGGGGACCTATTGGAGGCCTGTTGGGGCAGCTTGGAAGCCTCCTGTGCCATCTTGAGGCCATCTTGGGCGTCTTCGAGCGATCGTTCTGTCTGCGACCCGGGGCCCTCTTGGACCGACTTGGGGGCAACACAGTTTGCAGTTTTTTAGCTACAGCGCCAAAGCAGATCCAGGGCACGGTGGCGCGTATAAACTAAGGCAGCCCAGTGCGACCTTCCTTTGTTTGGAAGCGCACGCTCACAAGTATTACAGAGTGGCGGTCCGCTCTGTGTCAGACTGGTCGGAGGGGCATGTAGATCGATCGGGGCCTGGGGTACTGATCACAAGTGGGAACATCACTAGCGAAATGTGCTCACGCAGAGCCCACGATGGATCGATACGTCATGGCATGTAGTTGGGGGCGACGGTGGGGTACAGGTCGCCCAAACTCGACAACAATAGTGCCGCCAGTTTCGCAAGTTCCGTGTAGCGAGTTATTCCAGCATCGCTACCACACACAAGTCGAAGTGGGCCAGGTTTTCCCGCGCCAGTCGGTCCGATCGCATCGCTGTCCCAGCAGATGCCCCCTCCCGCATGGACGGCATGCATGAGTGATATTTCATTCGACGGGCGAGCCGCTGCAGCTGATCCAAGCTCAGAGACTTCGCGACTACGCGCCAGTACACTCAGACACCCTGGCGAGGACGAGGCCGCACGCTCCACTGGCCCGCGCCCGCGGAGGGCAGCGCTTTGCTTTGGCACAGGTGGCCTCACGGACTGCCGCAGCGAGGGTCACCAGCGCAACGCGCTGGTGGTTGCGTTGGGAGGAGGAGCGCAGGGAGGTGGTGGAGGAGCGGTGGGCGCAGAGGGTGGGGGAGCACGCATGCGAGCGGAAAATCTGACCCGGGTGACCTGGCCCGAAGGCGCTTCACGGTGCATCGGCGGCAGAAGCCACAGCTGAAGTGCACAGAGACATGGAGAGGGCCCACCCTGGAGGTTTGGGTGGACAGCACATCGTTGAGCGTTGCTGCAGCCTCCCCTGAGCACAGGCGCCCCCCCCGGAACATCAGCCAGGCACGTCGAGTTTGTACCCTCATGCCTTGCTGGACTCTGGGCGCGACGCGCTGACGGTGGCGTCGGGAGGAGGAGTGCGGGGTGGGCGCACTCCTCCTCCCAACGCCACCATCAGGAGGAGGAGGAGGAGGAGGAGGAGGAGGAGGAGGAGCAGGAGGAGGCGGAGGAGGAGGAGGAGGAGGAGGAGGAGGAGGAGTCTGGGTCGAGGGGCGGTGGGCGCAGGCGCACGGGCAGCCGTGCCAAGGCACCTCCCAGGGCCTGCGCGGGCGCGGCCCCCGGAACCCGGCGAGGGTCCCCGGTGCCTCGGGGAGGGCCGGCACGTGCTGCCGTCGGCTCTTCAGCGGGCGGCGAATGAGGCTACGGCGGTATTCGAACAGGCGCGGGATCCTTCTCGGCAATGGTTTATTCACATCGTTTTACAAAAAGCACGAGGTCTAGTGTCTATCATGGCGAGGTTCGTCGAAGTCGCTGGTGTGGCGTGGCGTACCACGAGCGGCCAGCCAGCAGCCACCTGAGTGGGCCGGCCGGCGCCTCTGCGCTTGCTAATTCGCCTCGCCCGTGGCCCAGACGTTGCTTTCGCCGCCTGACGCTTGTCTCGTGGCCGCGACCAAAAAAAGTATCACGAGCGGCATCTTTCCGAGATGCGTCTCTGGCGAGCAGGGCGTTGGAAAGAAGACATGGCTGTGCAGACCCACTGGGATTTTGAGGCATGGTATCGCGAAAAATAATGGGCAAATAGCCCTTCGACGGCCGTGGAGGTGCCGTACTGGTGCGTCGACGTGCGTCGTGGGCAGCCTACCACTACTCCAGATTTCGTAATAAAAGAGAGGGGGTCTGGACCCTCCAAGACAAGCCATTTCAGACCTCCCCCGTGGGAGAGCCCCCCAAAACATCGTCCCCAGACCCCCCAGGCCCTCCAAGATAGCCTGGAAGAGACCCCCCCCGAAATGAGACCCCCCTCCCTTTATTACGAAATCTGGAGTACCCCTTGTTGGAGGCTTGAGATGTGTTGCAGAGGCTGCTCGGCGACACGTGGCGACTTCGAGGCGTCTGCGCATCAGGCGCAGGTTGGCGTCGGTCGGATACGCTCGCAGCGAGCTTCGCGGTCCCACCGCAGGCTGCGCCGGCTGCTGGAGTTCCTGGGGCGGCGAACGCGGAGCCGCAGGTTTCGCAGGACTGTTTTGATGTAGCAATTCGGTTTTAGGATTCCGTGGAATGACGTGGGGATCGCGGCGACGGCGATGGGCGCGAGTGGCGATCGAGCTCTTGAGAGCCCGCGCGGTGGAGGGCGAGCGTGCTCGTGGCCCCGTTCGTCCAGCAGTCGGACGGCGGGGCCCACCCGAATTCGCAGGGGGTGCGGGCTGGCGGAGTCCCCGTGGGAGCCTCGTGCTCGGGGATGGAGGCCGGGGCTCCTGCAGCGACGAGGCCAGCGGAGGCCGTCCTGGCGGACGAGCGCGATGAGTGCGGCGAGGCGTGGCAGCTTTTGGCGGCCACCTAGTCGCGTGCGGCACCTTCCCGAAGCACGCCCCCCCCCCCCCCCCCCCCCCACACACACACACACACACACACACACACACACACACACACACACACCCATGGCACACACACACACCACACACAAACATACACACACAAACCACACACACATACACACACACGCACCCACACGCACGCACGCACACACACAAGCACGCACACACACACACACACACACACACACACGCACACACACGCACGCACACACACACACAAGCACGCACACACACAAAAACACCACCACCACCACCAACAACAACAACAACACACGCACAGCGACAGCAACAGCAACCACAACCACAACCACAACCACAACCACAACCACAACACACACACACACACAACGCACACACGCACACACACAAACAACAACAAAAGCAGCAACAGCAATAACAATAATCACACACATACACATACACACAAACACACACACACACACACGCACACACATACACACACACACATTCACGCACACGCACACGCACACGCACACGCACACGCACGCACACGCACACGCACACGCACACGCACAAATTCCCCACCTGAGCCCAGAAGAATGCAGAGATCCATTACCGCATTTGCCGGACTCTCAAGGTGTGCACGGCATTGACTTCCAATCATCGTAGAAGATCGGCTATTCAGCCGTGAGGTTTCATGACTGTACCACATGCCTCTGCGTTTGCTGAGTCGCTCCATCGTTGCGCAGCTTAAGCGGCGACCTCGCGGTGCGGAACACATGAGTATTGTTCTATATGTCCTCGTTCCTCAATTGTCGTCTCATCCTCTCCCTTCCCCTCCTCGTGTTTGTTCCTCCTCCTCGCCCTCCTTCATCTCTCCATCTCTCTCGCTCTCCCTATTTCTCCCCCCTCACCACCTGGCCTCCCTCTCTCGCTGTCTCTCTCTCTCTCTCTATATATATATATATATATCTCTTTTTTTGTTTCTATCTCTCTCTCTCTGTCTCCCCCTCTCAATCTCTCTCTACCTCTCCACTCTCTCTGCCTCTCTCTACCTCGATCCCTGTGCCCCTCTGCCTCTCAGTCTCTGTCTCTGCACTGCAGCCAGGCCTCGAGTCGTTTCGTGGCCCGCGTTGGGACTGCCCCCAGCGTGGACGTCTGTCCTCCGGCGGGGCGGCGTGCCCTTGCCACTGCCTCGCTCCCTGTCTCCGCTTTCCTCGTCTTCGTCTCAGGAGGGAAAGAAACACACACAGACACAATTAATCGTCGACCCCCAGGTAAATATGGGAAAATAGGGGACGTGGGGGGGAGACAGAAACCAAGAAAATGTGGGAAACTATGGGGAAGCCTATTATTTGTATATGTTTCTTTGTGTGTCACAGGGCCCCTTCATCATCGTCCTCTCCGTCCTCCCCCCCCTCCGTCCACGTCTGCGCGGCTAGTTTCCGGACTCGGAGGCACGGCCCTGTCTCGGAGGCCCTGTCTCGGAGGCACGGCCTCCTTCCATGTCTGCGCGGCTAGTTTCCGTCCCGTCGGATGCTAAACTTCGATTGTCCCATTTTCCCTCCCCCCCCCTCCGTCGAGGCGAAGCCGGGGCCCCCGGCGCGACCAGAAGTCGGACCATCCCGGCAATCGGGCAGAGGAGCACGGCGGGCTGCGGGCAGCCAGGAAGACGTGTCTTCGCCCTCCCCTCCCCTCCCTCCTCCTCTTCCCCTCCCTCCCTCCCTCCCTCCTCCGCCCCCCCCCTCCCTCCCTCCTCCCTCTCTCCTCCCTCCTCCTCCCTCCCTCCTCCCCTCCTTCTCCCCTCCCCTCCCCTCCCTCCCTCCTCCCCTCCCTCCCTCCCTCCCTCCTTTTCCCCTTCTCCCTTTCTCCTCCCCCTCCTCCTCGTCATCCGTTTCTTCCTCCTCTGCATCGTCCTCCTCCTCCTCCTCCTCCTCCTCGTGGCAGTGGCCGGGAGGAGGGAGGGAAGAGGAAAAGTCTCGGAGGCGACGACGGGAGCAAACCGCCAGGGGGTGGGCATGTCACGCACTCGCTGGGGAGCCTCACGGGAGACCTGGACCATCGCCGCCCGTGGATGCAGATGTTGATCTCGCCTTGGCTGTTCGCCCCCGTAGCCTTACGTCGGGCCTGTCCCTCCACAGGGGGAATACCCAAAAATAGTCGAAAAATAGTCAGGGGACGATTTGTTTGACTATTTTTGAGAATTGTTGGAGCATTTCTCCTGTAGTCCAAAGTCCAAAGTCCCCCTGTAGGGGGACAGGCCCAACCTAACCGTAGCCGCTTCCGACAAGAGTTGAGGAGGTGGACATGTACGTCAGAATTGATGGTAGGTCGGGAGGCAAGATGGTGAGAGGGTCAGGGTTCAAGTCAAGCGATCTACCATCTGAGAAGCCTTGCCCATGCGGGATGGCAGCATGGCTGCGGTTAACCAGGCCACCAGAGGAGGAGGGAGTTGACGAGGGGAGCGGGAGGACAATGGACGAATAGGAATATAATGATGACAATACCTTGGAAGTTTCCATGGTGTTGGCTTCCTCTCCGAGATCGTTTTGGACGTTCCAACGACCCGCGAATCCCACGTTTCCAAACTCAGGGTGGGCTGCTAGGGGGGGGGAGGGCCCCTCCCCGAAGGGGAAAAGGGGAGGTTGGAAGACGACTCCCTAAACCACTCACGCCCTCAAGGGCTGGTGAGATGTCTGTTCCGTTGCGTCCCGGAACGAGACGTCCACTGACGAAACGATAACGAAATGGAGAGGAAAAACAAGAGGGCGTGCGTCATCGAAGGGCCCCGCGACCTTGCACCCAACCGTACACTTCAACCCACACTCCGTGCAGCGTGTGAGGCGAGTCAAACCCGATTGACGGCAGGGGGAGGAAAGCGGTGGCAGAGGAGGAAGAAGCCAGCAGCAGCAGCAGAAGCAGCAGCAGCAGCGATAGCGTTCCCCCGACGGTGCGTCGACCCTGTTGGGTTCAGCTAGCGGCCTCGTCAACGGCCGCGGCGTCGAGAGTGGCCCGCAGCAGCTCTCTCCGAGCGCGGCCCCCGCGCGGCGCTCGGCGCCGGCAGCGGTCGCACGAAGCTCTGGAGGGGTGGCGCGGCGCCCCGCGGCCGCAGCCTGTGCTGCCGAGCGGCATCCACGAGGCAGTGGCACGCATGTGGCGGCAGCCTCCTGCAGTTAGAATAGTAATAATAATAATAAGAATAGTATAGCGATGGTAAGAATAATACTGCTAATAATAATCGGAATAATACGAATCATACTAATATCAATAATACTATGAGGAATAACAAACATCACAGTCATTATAAGCATAACAATACTACTAATAATAGTAAGCAAAATAATAATACTACGAATGATAATAATAATGCTGATACGGATAATACGATTAATCCTAAGCGTACGAAAGATGATCATAATAAACATAAGACGAAGAAGAGGAATAAGACGAATAATAATCAACAGACGAAGACAAATGAAGTGCCTGCGTGAAGATACACATGCTGAGCTCCGCGCAGGCTTCTCGGATCTGCGCTGGCGCCCCCCCTGGCGGCGCCTCGGGCGCTGCCCCTAGCGCGCTCCGCGCGCCAGGAAAGGGGGTTCAGCGCAGACCCAAGGAATCCGCGTGGACCTCCACCAGTCCATGGTGATGCAGTGTCTACTCCCTTCAGAGACGGAGCCTTCAGGGCGACGAGTTCCACTGGACAGCGAACTACATAACTTCAGAGCGTGAATTACCTACCCCGCTTTCGCTTGCAAGCAACACCAAGCCATACCACGCGCCTCCTCGTCAAGCGGCCTGACCAGTACAGGCTGCAATTTGGCATCGTTTGGTATCTCTTGGAAGCGAGGGTGGTCAAAAGCGAGGTAGGTTTGTTTCCCCCCTAAGAATAGGCCCCTGCGTCAGCCTGCGAACTGCCGAGCTCGCCGTGGCCACGCCTCCGACGGAACTTTTCTCAGCCCCCCCCTGGCGGCAGACCGCGCCGGCATCCCTGGCAGAAAGACCCGTCGGGCCCAGAGATCCTGCCAAGGAGGAGGAGGAGGAGGAGGAGGAGGAGGAGGAGGAGGAGGAGGAGGAGGAGGAGGAGGAGGAGGAGGAGGAGGAGGAGGGGGAGGAGGAGGAGGGAGGAGGAGGAGGAGGAGGAGGGCCAGCATATACGGGGCCTCGAAGCTCGCCGCGCGGGACGCGCTTGCCGGCTCGCGGTCCCGGCACCGCGGGCCCGAGCGGCATGCCGGCCACGTCGGCCGAGTCCCCCGCTTCGACCCCGACACGCCGCAGCGCTGCGAGGCGGCTGGCACGACCTCTCCCGAGTCGCCCCCGACGAGGAGGAGGGCCCGCTCCGCCCTGCCGATTCGACGCCGCCCGCCACCAGCGTCGGCGCGTGGTCGAGTCCGGACAAGTCCAGGCCAGGATTCCTCCTCTTCCGCCTCCTTCTCCTGCGCCCTCCTGCGCCCTCCTCCTCCTCCTCCTGCGCCCTCCTGCTCCTCCTCCTCCTGCGCCCTCCTCCTCCTCCTGCTCCTCCTCCTCCTCCTGCGCCCTCCGCCTCCTCGGCGCGGGTGGCGCGCTTCGGTCTGGCGGCTGGGGACGCTGCCCCGGAGCGTCAGCCAGGAGCAGATGTCCGCCTCCGCTTGCGCCAGCGCCGATGGCACGAGCTCGTCCCAGCCGCGGGAAGCTCTCGGACCTCGATGGGCTCCGCACATCCAGCCAGGGGGAGCACTGAGGATGGAGGAGGGCGAAGGAGGATGGAGGAGGAGACGCTGGGGGGGCTGACGAGGAGGGAAGAGACACATGGAGTAGGAGGCCGAGGTGGAGAAGTGCCGAGGCTTCAAGGATGCAAGGCGGATAGAGGATGGAGAGGATGGAGGACGCAGGAGAAGGAGGCTGGAGAGGGGGAATGATGCTGAACGGCGCAGACTGTGTCCGACGGCACTCCCGCCTTCGGCAAAGATGCGGCGCCGCCTGGCTTTGCCTTCGCTTACTACAGTCACCACCCACCAAACCACCCCAACCCAACCCGAAGGCCTCAATTTGCCCTCGATTTCCAGTGGGGGGGTCGGGGAACATTGAGAAAACACGTGTGGAACCCTTGCCCCCCCGACCCGAGATTCGGGTCTTCGGGTTGTGTTGGGGTGGTCTGGTAGGTCGTCATACAGACGGTCAGGTCCCCATCCCCACCTGGCACTGCCAGAGCTGCGACGCTCAGAGCAGGGGCCACCGGCAGCTGGGCCCCTGCGGCGTCTGCGGCCCGGCCGTCTCCTGCAGAGAGGAAGCCACCCTCGCCATAGGATTTAGTCGGGCCTGTCCTTCTACAGGGGGAATATCCAAAAATAGGTAAAAAAAAAATAGTTGGGGCACTATTTTTTGCATTATTTGTTGCATATGTTTTGACCATTTGCGAGTATTTGTTGAGTAATTTTTGATTTTTCGTCGAAAATCCCCCTGTAGGGGGACACGCCCGACTTAACCATAAGAGCACAGCGTGCTGGCGATCCGCGACTGCTCAGACAGGTGATAGTCTGGTACGGCGTCTCGGGATTAGGGCGGGGTCGGCCGCGGGCCGCGACGGCGCGGCGCCTGCAGCGGAGGCAGCGGCACGACCTCTAACCCCCCGCCCCTTGGCATCGCTCGGACGTGTGCATTTTTTTTAACTCGGCGAGGACCATCGAGGAGCATCCTTGATCATTTGGCGAAAAAAACACGCACGAAACCGAACAAAACACAGGGAGCGATGGCCAGCCCCGTCGCGGGCGGCGCGGCAAGGCCGCCCTGCGTCACCTCCGCCAGCCGGCGCGCGACCCGGCGCAGCCGGATGGAGGCTGACAGGGCCGAGGCGGTCTGCAGCGGCCTCGATTTGCGCTGGGCAAGACGACGGCCCGGCAGTTCCGCAGCAGCGCAGGCTGCCGCGGATTGTTGTTGGCCTCGCCCATTGAGCGCGTTTCATTGCTCGCAAAGTGCCCACTCGCAAACGTCTGGAACACACGTGATCACTTCAATCTATAACGTATCGCAGGTCCCCTGCGGCGGATTTAGGCCAGTTGCGAGTAAGTGACTCTGCGAGTCGTGGAACGCGCTTGTCTACTCGCGCGGAGCATGGGCGGCATGGGCCCACCCTGCGCGGCTGGGCCCGCGATGGGTGCCCAGCTCGTGGCTGGGAACGGGCGAAGGTCAGGGCAGCCCCCTGGGGGCCAGCCAGTGCGCCGAGTCCGCGCCCTGCATTCGTCGCAGGGAGGAAGATGCACGATGGTGGGGAGGCAGACCAGACGTTTCGGAGGAGGAGGGGGAGGAGGAGGGGGAAGAGGAGGAGGAGGAGGAGGAGGAGGAGGAAACGGAGGTGGAGGAGGAGGAAGAAGAGGAGGAGAAGAGGAGGAGGAGCAGGACGTCGACGAGGAGAGGGATGGAGAATGAGGAGGAGGAGGAGGAGGAGGAGGAGGAGGAGGAGGAGGAGAAAGAGGAGGAGGAGAAAGAGGAGGAGGAGGAGGAGGAGGAGGAGGAGGAGGAGGAGGAAAAGGAGGAAAAGGTGGAGGAGGCACGTGGAATCGAAGAGGAGCAGGGCGAGGGGAACGAGACTGCCCCCCCCAGTCTCCCTGGAATCCCGCAGGGCGCGACGCACTTTCCCGAGGATCCGTCTTCCCGTGTACAGTGGAGACCCTGGCCAAGAAACACCATGCGTGCATCCAGGGTTCCCTAGATTCTTAGGCTTACGCCACACCGCCGACCCCTTTGTTTTTTTGGGGGTCGTGGACCTCCTAAGGAACCCGGGAAGGGCTGGACCCCCTTGATGAGCTCGGACCGGACGGCCCCCCCCCTTCAATCGACCGGACGGGGCTCTGGGGGGAGGGGTTTGGGGAGGGGGAAGCATCTCACACGCTGATGATCCCCAACGGGTCGGCGGATTCCTTGGGTTTCGATGGCTTTGCCGTGGAGGGCGCGACGTTCCCACACCAAACATCGATGGACGTCCTGGGGTCGCAGGTTTGGGTTTCTTGTGGAAGGTGTGTTGTGGACTGGCCTCCACTGTATCATCCCCTGCATAGGGGAACAAACAACAGTCACAAAAACCTTAGGCCCGCGCGCGTCAGGGACGGCGCCAGAGGCGCCGCCAGGGGGGGCAGGGGGGGGGGGGGGGGAGGAGGGGGGGGGGGTGAGGGGGGGGAGGAGGGGTAGGAGGAGGGGAGGAGGGGAGGAGGAGGAGGAGGAGGAAGGAAGGAGGAGGAGAGGAGAGGAGGAGGAGGAGGAGGAGGAGAGGAGGAGGATAGGAGGAGGAGGGAGGAGGAGGAGGAGAGAGGAGGAGCAGGAGGAGGAGGAGGAGAGGAGGAGAGGAGGCAGGAGGAGGAGGAGGAGGGGGAGGAGGAGGAGGAGGAGGAGGAGGAGGAGGAGGAGGAGGAGGAGGAGAGAGGAGGAGGAGGAGGAGGAGGAGGAGGAGGAGGGAGGAGGAGGAGGAGGAGGAGGAGGAGGAGGAGTGAGAGGAGGAGGAGGAGGAGGAGGAGGAGGAGGAGGAGGAGGAGGAGGAGGACGACGAGGAGGAGGAGGAGGAGGACGACGAGGAGGAGGAGGAGGAGGCGCCGCCAGGGGGGCTCCTGCGCCGATCCGAAAGATCCGCGCGGACCTCCTAGGACAGAGGAACATCCTTCAAGCTATGGGGCCCTCCGTCGGCCCAAACCGAAGAACATTCGAGTGCACCCTCCCCCTTAGCCTGAAGTCGGGCCTGTCCCTCTGCAGGAGGAATATTCGAAAACAGGACGATTTTTTGTTGACCATTTTTTGAGTACTGGGGGGGAGTTTTCGACTTTTGTCATTTTTCGTCTAAAATCCGCCCGTGGGGGACAGGCTCGACCTAACCTTAGCCTCCGAATAGGGCCATTCTCAAAGGGCAGGTCACTCCCGAGGTTCATCCTGGGCTGCGCTGGGCCATGGCGACGAAGCGCCTTACAGATCTGGAGGCCGAGCTTCCTGCGAGCCCCCCTGCTGAGCGCCGCCCATGCCCATCCCCTCCCCGCGGCGGCCACGGTCCGCCGACGACAGCGACGACGACGACGACGACGACGACGACGACGACGACGATTACGACGAGGACGACGACGACGACGACGACGACGACGACGACGACGACGACGACGACGACGACAAGGACGACGAGGACGACGTCGAGACCTCGACGGAGCGACGACCGCGAGGACGAGGACGGCGCCGACGGCAACGAGCCCGCCGCCGCGCAAGGAGCACGCCGGCTCCAGCTGCCGCCCGCGGCCAAGCCGCGACCGGCGCTCGGGCCCCGGCTGATGGGCCTGTCTTCCACCACCACCACCATTAGTTGGAGGGGGGAAGGAGGAGGAGGAGGAGGAGGACAAGGACGAGGAGGAGGACGAAGAGGAGGAGGAGGAGGAGGAGGAGGAGGAGGAAGAGGACGCCTCAGAGGAGGAGGAGGAGGAGGAGGAGGAGGAGGACGCCTAAGAGGAGGAGGAGGAGGAGGAGGAGGAGGAGGTGGAGGAGGACCCCCTCCCTCTCCTACCGATGGTGGTGGTGGTGGACCACAGGCCCATCACCGGCGCAGCCGCGCGCGGCGGCGCGCGCCCGCGACCGCGCGGCGTCGGCCGGCGCGCTCCTGCCGCCGATCGGGCCGCAGCGGGGGCCGCGCGCGTAGGCTCGCCGTTGGGGGGGTCGGGTCCCTGGTTCTGCACGAACGAGATGGGCACGGACAGAATGGGTACGATGCCCAACAGCAGTTCCTGTTCATTCTGAACAGGGCTCGCTGTCCGCGCCGCCGCGGCCCGTGTCAATTTGAGACAGAAGGCCGCCCGCCCAACGGAGGCCGCTGTTGGTTTGGGACAGCATTTGCTGTTGGGCATTGTGCCCATTCTTTCCGTACCCAGTTCTGGCGTCCAAATTGGTCGGCGGCGCGCCTGCGGGGGGAAGGAAAAAGGAGAGGAGGCCGTTGCAGAGGGCGGTGGGGCTTCTCAGAAGCCCTCGCGCCTTCTGAGGAAATGTTCGGTGTCCTCGGGGAACGCCTCGGGCACTTGTCGGAAGGCGGGGGGGGCTTCTGAGCCTCCTTCTGAAAAGACCCGCCCCTGCTCACTTCCCCCCGGGCTCGCCGCCGACTCAGGGAAACGGGTCCCGAGGTTTTTACGCCGTATTCGGGCTCTCGGGGCCTCCCACGGGCCCCGGGACTGGCAGAAAACGACTCGGGATGAAGACTTCGTCTGGGGGTTAGGCCCCGGGGACCCAGGACCGGCTTCCCGCAGGACCAGGTTCCCCCCATGCTCAGTAGGCGCGGCGCTCCGGCGGCGGCGTCGTGTGCCGCTCGGAGAGGTCCGAGGGCGCGCGCGCGCGGCGCTGGCGTCGGGAGGTTTTCGGCAGGACAAGCCAGGGATTTTCAGGAGGGGAA